AAGCCCAGAATATATTTTAGAATTTGGTCTATAATTTTTTAATTTGTAATCAATAAATTGCTGAGTATTATTTAAACTAAATGTCCAAATTAAATTAGTAAATTTAAAAGGATTTATAGTTTTGGAATTTTTTGGTTTGCTTGATAATAATTTTGATGCTATAGCCTATATTTGAACCTATTTAAAATAAATAAATTTAGCTACCTTTTATAAAATTATTATAAATATTATTAAAAAATTAAATAGTTATTACCATTTTCATTATTTGATCCTCTATATTTTGTTTATTGGTTAAATAATATAGTTTTTTAACAAAATCTTTATGAAGACTTTTATAAGTTTCAGTAAAAAATCTATTTAAAGAACTATATTTTTTAATTAAATCAGTAGTATGATAGATCCATGAATGTAATTTTAAAAACTTTAATTCTAATGTAGAATATGTATTAAAAAGATTAATAAATTGTTAAGCCCAATTTATTATTAATTTCTAAATAAATAAAACTATATTAATATTTGCTAATAAAATTATTTAATTAAAATAATTCAAAATAATTTATAATAAATCACACAGATGCAAAACAATTTAAATACCTCAAATTTATTTAAGTTATATTTAGAAAATTCTTCAGATCAACTTAAAATATACATATTATTTCAATCTTCATAAAGCTTTAATAATTTTTTTTGAATAGTTTCACCTATATTTAGATTATCCAGAACAAATATCATAATCTTCATAAGATTTTGATATTTATTAGCAGTAATTTTAGCAAGAGCTTAGATTCCATTTTTAAAAATCTTAAGTTCTAGAAACCTTGGAATATTAGCTAATCTATTATCAATTTTATCTAGAATTGAAGCACTATATTGATCTTTTAACAGATCTAATGTAAAATTAATTTGGTATTTAAATAATCCCAAATCTAAATGGTATATTCTATCAATTACAGTAGCTTCATAAATATTGATATCACTAAAATTAATAAAAAGTATAAAAGTTAATATAGAATTAAATGTTATGTATTTATTATTTCTATAATATTTAAAAAAGTTTAAACTAATTTACAATAATTCAAATTTGATTAAATTATTTAATTGCATTTGAATTATAAATTTATTTTAATCATTTTGAATTATTTTAAACTATTTCACAACTATTCACAACTATTCAAAATAATTTAAAATAATTGAATTATATTTAATTAATTTGAATAATTTTTTAATTATTTTTTAACTGATATAATTAAAATATTTTGAAGTTATTAAAATCAAATTAAATAAAACAAATTACTTACTTAAAGTTCTAAAACTAATTTAATATAGATTCTATACATACTATATTTTCTTTATTAGTATTCAAACTGTTTCATATATTTTTATGATTTCTTAGCACTAAATCATGTTTAGAATTGTTTGTATTTGCTAAATCATCTCTATTTACTAAACAAAAATAACAAGGATAATTTGAATTTGTTGATTTATATGTCAGACAAAAGGTTGCAGCTTCTGGCCAATTTGCAATTATAGTTGTAACTTTTGAATATAATCAAATGAATTTGTTATTAATAAACAAATTTATGCCAGATTGTGAAAAATTGCAAATTGAATCTAATATAATTTTTAAACATCTATGAAAGGTTTGTCTAACTATTGATTTATTTTTAGTAGATATTTTAATTATTAGCAAATAATCTAATAATTGCTTAGCATCTTGCTTATTTTTTTACCATATAGGAATATTTCCTAGTAACATACATATTGGGTGAAGCTGACTTTTACCCAATGTGTTATAATTGGTAACATCTGAATATAAAATAATTAATAAAATTTTTGATCCTATAGGCAAAGCATTTTGTGTAGTTTTCCACCAAATTCCATTATTTTGCTTTTTATAAATAATCTCTTTACTATTTTTTAAAAAAAATAAAAATAAATTAATATAATAAAATAAATATTATATTTACAAATAATATTAAAAGTTATATATATCTCAGTTGTTTTATATAATTTTTTATATTCAAATTCTAAATTTTGTGCTATATTAGAAATTTTCAATATATTTTCAATACAGCTGATTAATAGCATATGATATAAGAAATACTCAGTATCATCAAGTTCTAATACTTTGGTCTTCATATATAACAAGTTAGATTTGAGATTATTTATAAACTTCTTTCCTTGCTTAATATTTTTTGGTAATGGTGATTTTGAATGATTTGAATGCTTATTAAAAAATAAAATAATAGCATTTCTAGCTGCATTACTTAGCTTATATTTAGTAACCAAAACCATTAAATCAGCATAAGCTTCATTAGGAAATTCATTATGTTTTTGATCAATTTCTTCATCAGAAGAAGAGCTTTGGATATTATAAGAATAAGCAGGATTATTTAAAAAGTCATTAGAAAATTCATAATAATCATGTAATGTAGGTTCAAGTTCATCAAGAATTTGAGAACTTGGATTTAAATTTAATGTGTTTGGATCATTATAAGAATCATCTAATTCAAATGACATATTAGCTAAATCACTACTAAGTTTATCAGTATTAGATAATCGTGAAGGACCAGCTAATGTGCTATCTAAATTAGAAAAAGTTTCAATGCTTTTACTAAGTTTTGAAACCTTGCGAAACTTAATATCTTTAATTGAAATTTTTTTTGTAGAAAATTCATTTTCTGATTTATTTGTATTGATTACATTGAGATTGATTGAAATAGGATTACGATGTTGTGAACTAGTGTAAATCTGAGTAGAATTATTGACAATCGGATTTACAATAAGGTATTCTTCAGCTTCAGCAATAAGTGCATATTTAGCCATATACTTAGATAAACCATTGCAAGTAGCAAAAGTGCGAGAGCAAAGGGTGTGGTGACTTAGTGAAGTGGTGGAGTTGCCGCATTCCCAAACGGCAGGTCTAGAGTTCGAATCCCATAGATAATGATTTTGAAAATACTAGATCTGTATCGGTTAACGTTAAGATTATC